TTGCAAATTCCCGAAACACGTCAAAACATTTATGAATTTACAAATTATTTGAAAATCTTAGATTTTTCATATGTACAGTGTAACCTCGGGAACGGTTTTTTGAAAATAACCTTTGACACCGAGGTCACAGCCAAATAATTATCAATTCATAAAATTTATCACAAAATTCCGGATTTCTTATATAAATATGAATGAAATCAAAAATTGTCTTCATGTGGTTTTCTTAGAAAAACCATTCCAATCTATATTGGGAATGACTGTATATTATTTGTTAATATTAGTTTTATGTTAAGATTTTACAAAGTTATAAGTTAAATAACTAAATTTAAAGCAAAAATATTGTTCAAAAAAAACTGGCACTCATTTGGTTGACACAATTTATTGGATGAAATAAATTCATTCATCAAATCCTCGTGAATACAAGTCTTATGAATAGAGCACTCATTATATTGTAGTAATACTTGTGAGCACTCGGGTCTGTCCGGCCAGTTTTTTTTGAACAATATTTTTGCTTTAAATTTAGTTATTTAACTTATAACTTTGTAAAAAGGGGGGGAGTCAACCCTATTGTTTAGCAATTCTGATAATTAATTTAATGTTTTTATTATACAGGGTCAGTAGCTCGAGTGTGATTGACCATAACTATGCGCGTAATACTATTGGTGACAATTACTTGAGGGATGACTGGGTGGCGCCTACCGTTCACCCGAGTTCACGGTTAACTAAGCGAAAAGGTTTGATACTATTATTTATATTTACATATCGTATTTGATTACTAATTACATAATTCATTATATGGTATATAATTTGTTTATGAAAATGTTAATTTTATTTTCAGGCTTTAAATTGCTTAAAAAACCACTAATTCGTTAGTCGACTGTTTGAGATTTGTATGCAAATTGTCGACCCTTTTGAGTGCTAATTATAAGCTAAATGTATGACTAATTAATTTTTGACACAATTTGATAATTATGAATTTATGATTGAAACTCAAATAACGTTAAACGAAGTATTATTGTATTGATTCCTATTTTGGTTATATTGAATAAATATTATTTTTCAAAAATGTGTATAATTAATATCATTTTAATTTACTTGAATTTTTGGTTAACATAAAATGAATGGAAATCATATTTAATTTTCTAAAAACAATTAATCAATAACGAGCTCTACATCATTGAAACCATATTTACACTTATTATCGTTGAATAGTTTCTCTAAACTCTTAATATACTGTTTGTGGAGTCGATTGATCTCATCATCGGACGGGTTGTCCACTTTTGGCACGTCTATAGGCTTTCCCACTAAATACCCGACAAAATATGAATATATAACTTGAAAACAACCCAAACGCCAAAACAATGTATAGTATAATACTTACCGACTGTGGTGACTGGCCTACGACGGGGAATGATGGTACTGGGTATGGGTATGGTAACATGCAACTTAGCTAGTGCATACTCCTGACATTTACGGAACCACGAGTCCGGTGCGAATACTTTCTGTTCGTATAAATCATTTTCGCCAAACGACAGCACCGGTACCAACGATGTGCTGGTTGTCCATTAATATAATATACAGTCCATACAGTGCTAAACACAATCATATGATGCATACAATACCCGTGTGTTAACGCAATTTTCATGAGCCCTTTCCTGTTCTTGAGACTCAATATCATGGTATTGGGCAGTGAGTAGTGGGCGTCGCGATGCCCGCCCACGATTACAGCCACCACTTGCCCACCGGTGCCCTCTTTGCCACTAATCGGTGTAATCAACAAATTCATTGTTTTAATTGCCATTTGTATCAAACAATTATATCAAACATTTTTAGACTTTAAGTATCAAATGATTATATATAACTTATTTTCACCTGTTCACATATAATGTACACACCTTATACACCATTCGATGCTGGATTTATTGACCGAGATGAAACCTGCACGACAAACAATAGATTTCATTAATATAGTTGAAAATTATTTTTAAAAATTCAATTATAATCACATTCATATTTATTTACGTATCACCAAATTACCAAGATATTTGCTCAAGAAAATAATAATTATAATAATAGTTTCATAGGTACCTAGAGCCATTAGGACATCCCGACACACTGGGAACCAAAAGTTCAACATAAGGCTCGCCAAACGTACGTGAAATCCGGGGAAAACATGTTGAAAGCTGGGGTTATTACTCGTGAAATGATATATTTGAGACAGGGCATATAGGCCATGGGGGTGGCACGCGAATATATAGTTTTTATCAGGGTCCAGATCGTGGGTTTTGATGAGTTTCAGCGGAAAATAATCGGCAATGTGTTTAAAAAGACCAAGCTGCCGGTACCACTTACACGGTCGACCACCTAGGTATATTTTAATAATATTAGAATTTTAATTAAATTTAGATTTTGGCAAAAATTATAATACATACCACGATTAGGTGTATCTCTATCAATATACATATAAACTAGGTATAATAGAGTTATGTAATAGTATTGAGTAAATAGTAAGTATACCAATATAGCAAGGTATAAAAGCCTTAATGTCAACATTTCGTTGACCACATAAATTACAGCCAGCATTTCAAGTAGTTTTGAAATATCCATCATGGTAGTTATTTTTAATATTACTTCGCCAGGCTGAATAGGATATTTTCAAACAAATATTATTTTAAATCTTTATTAAACAGCCGAACACAACGATTATGAGCAATAATAATGAGCTTGATAATTATAAAACTTCATAAATACATAATATATGACCGGAAACACCTGCAAATATGTTTAAGAAAGTAACTTTAGCGATTATTTGTTTGCCTCCACTGAAATATGATGAAAATAATTATAATGAATGCAAATTTTGTAACTAGCAAATTTCTTTATAACTTATTTGACAAGAATTTGACGTGTGTTTGACATGACATAATTTGTTTTTAATTAATCCAATGATTTATTATAGTAAAATAAATATGAATTACCAATATAAAAAACAGCATACTATATAAACAGATGTTGAAATGTTGTAGGTGATTTTCAGATGTTGGGGTAGTGGTGGTCACTGCAGGTTCGGTGCACCGGGGGCTCAGGTCACGTAACACTCACAGAATAATTTTACTAATTTTTAACGTTATTTAACTAAAACATATAAAACAAACACTAAAACATATATTTATTAATTAAAAAACACATGACAAAACATATCTGTGATAAGCTGGGCTACAAAACTGTGTTAAAATATGCAGTCTTATCTACACTTAATCCCTTTATTGATATACTGGGTGTAATCCCTATCTATCAAAACAACTTAAACATGTTTTGATTTAAAATTTTTCCACAGGTGTGCTAAGTCTTGTGATTGGAAAGCATTTTATGACTTATTTTACATGAATTCAAAACAATTATCAATTTTCAAATTAATTGCAGTTTTATGTATTTTTAAAAATAAATGTTTTTTCATTCAAATGAACACTACTTTTGTGTTTAAGTAATGATGTTTTTCTTGTAAACTGTTTGTGACATTCACTCCAATCGCATACATATCTCACGTTTAAATTAGTGTTATTTTTGTGTTCATTTAATTGTGATCTTAGTTAAAAACTTCACTACAATTATTAAAATCACATTTAAATTGTTTTGAATTTGTGTGCATTAATTGATGATCAGTTAAATGATGTTTACTTGTACTGACATTTAGGCAAAAACAGTTGAAATAGTGATAAGTGTTGAGTGTATTAACGGTTTTGTGATTGGAAAACATTTTATCAGTTATTTATTAAAAGTTATTATTATTTTAAATAATGAGTTTTTTAAAAATAATAGTGAGTTTTTAAAGTTCTCAAACAATCAAAATTATAAATTATTAAATGATACAACAAATCAATCACAGGACCCAAAATTATGTGAAAAAATTATATCGTTTTGTATGTTGTATGAATGACAATAACTTTAGTCAATAAAATTGAATTTTGGAGAAATGTGTTTCACACCCTGTATACAACTTTCAATTATCTATTTATTAGACTTAACACAGTTTTGTAGCCCAGGTGATAAGACTGCGATAACACTAAAACAGTACAAAAAGTACTGTATATATATAACTAATAGAAGAAAGCACTGGGATGTCTCAACACTACATAAGCTCTCAGTGCGGCACTGGTATGTAATCATACTGTATGTGAAATCCAATCCCTTTTCCCAGAACATAATGATTACATAATGATTACATACCCTGCATATCAAAGTTAGTCATAATGTTATATATAAATTTATTTTCCTTTAGTTAATAAGTTGTTAACTGAGGCTGAGATACAGGCGCCGCAGGGATTACCTTCTTTACTGGGGGTTATGAGACAACGTCTAATCTCTTGGGGAGGGGAGGGGGGTATTCAACATTGAAATTATTTTCTCATTTATTAAAATCACTTTTTAATATTATTGCGCACGTTCAAATACTATAGATATCATTGCATAAAAAAGGCCCAAACTTAATCTTTTCATAAAATCATATAAATAACGTTTTCCACTAAAAAACTACTGTTAAGGGGCCATTCAATAAGTACATACGCACGAGGTGGGGGGACGGGGTCAAGTCAAAAGCGTATGAAAGCGTATGTTATTTGGGGGAGGGGTCCAGTGAGAGTCGACGTACATTTTGAAGGGGGTCATAGAGATATTTTATGAATTTTTCTAAATATTTAATTCATATGAATGGTTTAAATCTTAATCTGTGATAAGGCTAGATAAAGACTTTTGACAAATATTTCATTAAACTTATGTTTGAATTCATATTTAGACTGAATTTGAGTGCAAAATGTGTTTTTTGAGTACAATTTTTAAAAAATGAGAAATTCAGAAAATTTTGACAGATATTTTGTCACACGAACTGAGAAATCAATTAAAATGTGATAATAGTAATTGTCCATACATATTCGAAGTAAGCAACAGTAAGAAAAATTAAAAACTAATATCAAAAAATTAATAATTTAGAGGGGGGGGTTGGCGAAAATGTACGTATGCATTGGAGGGGAAGTATCGGTTCTGCGTACGACTTGCAACAAGGGGGGAGGGGGGGTCAATTTTTGGGCCAAATTTTGCGTACGTACTTATTGAATGGCCCCTAAGTGTATTGTTAGGTATATTTCAATGCATCGCAAGTTTTACAACAACTTTCAGGGACTCTGAATTGGGTGTCAAATGTGAAAATCGCGTTTATTTTAACTAATGAATAGATTAGAACAATTTTAGCAAGCTGATATTTTACTATTGAATTTCTGTTATATTTCTGTTTTATTACAGATGTTAGATTATGTTCGATAATTTTAGATCAAATGTGAAAGGTAAACTCTGTGACAAAATCGGTATTTAATTACTTTTTGGTAAGATTTTACCAAAATATATCTAGCGGATTTAGTAATTAGTTGAGAGTCTTTGGTAATACCATAATTTGGTACCCGTAGCCTGGTTGCGAGACTAACTCTGATTTAAAAACAAATGACTTGCAAATCTATAACAAGAAGCAAACTTTCAGCAATCATGATTATATACCCTGTTTCACTCAGTATAGTGCGCGCAATATCTGAAAAAGGTCATTTTTCAGGAAAGGTAAAGGGGCGCACTATCCGAAAAAGTTGTTATATAATTTTTTAAAAATTATTATAATTTCAAATTAAGTTCTAATCAATTACAAATCAAAACATTAAAAATCTTCATCGGATTGAATATTTCTACGATATCAATGAGTTCGTCGGGTATCTCAATATGTATTAAATCAGAAACTGAGTCCATTTTCGCACAAATATTTATCACTAAAACAATTTTGTATGAAATTGTAAACATTTAATCTTATCTACACCTTGTGTTAAACTTATTCCTAGATATCTCAGCTAATCAAGTGTCCTAAATTCACTTAAATTCCTTATTTACCAATTCATATATTCAAGTTATAATATGTGTGCACTATACGATGGGGCGCACTATAGGGCATGAAACAGGGTAATTTATATTATATTTTGAAATTTTAACTGCTTCTAGAAAAATCCTGTAAGTGTTTAATTGTGACTGGCTAAATTCAAAAGTATAAATTTTATCAAAGTTAACATATTATTTAGCAGAATATTAAGAATTATTTTATGATAATTTGTTGAAAACATAGTTCTGAGTACCAAACACGCAATTGAAATGGAATTGACTTATTCGTGGTTTATTACCGGGCTAATCACTGCTTTACTACTACTTTATTTGTGAGTACTCTTTAGATAATGATTTTATTTTTAACCACATTTACACAGTAAAAAAGTGGGTTATAAGTGGGTTATCAAATCACTCTGTACTGTCATTAATGACGCTAATGAAGCACTTTAGCGTAACTCCATAGGTTTAACATGGGGTTTTTTGACAGTTTAGCCATTAACGACTTTGTTTTTCCTATGGAAAATGCCAGCAAAAGTGGGCAAAAGTGTGTCCGAGACGTAATGACGCTGTGTTTTCAGGTCCATGTTAAACCTGATTTTTCCTTTCCTGCCCTCTCTTATCTTCTAATTGATTTAAATTGACAAAGCTAATAAAAAATACAATTTTAGTTGTGATTGATAGAGCATAATTTTATAGATTTTATTGATTAAAGATAAATATCTATAATTTATGAAAATATAATTAATTCTATATTAACTTAACTGTAAATGTGGGTTTCTATAGCATTGCTTGCAAACCTTGTTTTTATATATAAAATCGTCGCCAAAATAGTTGATAATGGTTTTCTATAATTCTAGATGGTTTATAGTTGAGCTAGATCAAAACAAAATTTTTTAGAAACATGGTTTTTAAGCACCAACATGATGATATACAACATTTATCCCCGATCTAAAGGGGTTGGTATGGGACAGGGATCATCTATATCACAAAAATTATTAATGATAATCGAGTTCTGATTTTTGGAAATGATGGGCGAGGTCATTTCTAGAAAAATAATTTCTGGATTTGCCGAAATTTTACTCCGTTGATTTTTAATAATTCATTAAATGACAAAAATTGACATTTTTAGACTGA